ATATCAATGGCCTCGCACTGTCCGGCCTAACAGGAACCACTGGAAGGTGTGGCAGGAACACCTTACCCGAGCACTACTTGTCTCTGACGGACCCCAGCGCCTACTGCGTCATCCTCTGGGCCCATGGTTCGATCTTCTCGACAACTGGAACTGGTTATGGTCTTCTACTCACGGATTGTTCCATCGCCAGGGCCACGGGTGGCAACACTACCGTGACTGTCGCTCCTCCACACGGAGCATTCAATGGGACTATCCTCGTTCTACGCAATTGTCCGGGTGCAAACGACCACATAACAAGCATACCGACAACGGCATCAGCTTCTTGCCAGCCCCCTTTTGGACCCAACCACTCCCTGCTGACTTGTGCCGAGCTACCGTCCACATTACGCCTTCGCCAGGCACTCTTGCCCTCACCGGCATTGGGACAGCATCGCTGCAGCCGCATCACGACTCTCAACCGTCCTTGCTAGCCGCCTGGATGGCCGCCTCAGCCAGGGTGACAGAGTATGTTGGCTGGACCCGTGAAGAAATTGAGATCGATGGCGACAAAAGCCTCCTTGCGGCAGCCCTACTCGAAGACCGGCTGTGTGTGATCAGCGACGGTTCTTACAAGCTCGGTCTGGGCACGGCAGCGGTTCAACTGCTTCCACGTAAGGGTGGCACGGAACGTATTATCGTCCGGTGCCAGACTCCAGGTCTAACTGATGACCAGAGCGCGTACCGGAGTGAATTAATTGGCCTACTGGCCGGTATCATGGTTGTTGATTGGCTCCTCGACCAGTGGGCCCCAACACTTCAATCACCACCCCGCGTTAGGATTGCATGCGATGGATTTTCGGCATTGCTCAACACCTTTGGTGACAATCGAGTCACACCGCAACAAGCCCAGTTTGACCTGGTCTCCTCTATCTGGGAGGCACTTGCCCGCTCTAGGGCCTCATGGGAACCTAGCCACGTGTACGGTCAACTCGATACGGCGACATCCTTTTTGTGCCTCTCTTGGTGGTCTAAACGGAATGTGGAAGTGGATGCGTGGGCGGTCGCCTATCGCCACCAGCTTGAGGCTTCACACCGATTGATTGCACCTAACGCTCGTTTCTTTACCGAATTGGCTGCCCTTTACATTGGGGACGTCAAACAGTCGCGATTGAATCCAGAACAGGTCAAGGAACGCGCTGCCTGCTCTACGCAAGCGATGGCACGAGCGGCAGATGATTACACCGGAGGCAGAGCTGGAGACCGATTGGACCAGTCTGGCTTGCGCCATGAGCTCCCTTCCGGCAGGTGTCCAATGTTGGACCACAAAGCATGTCGTGGGTATGTGTGGTGTAGGGAAGTTCAAAGTCCGGTGGGGTTCCGCCGACTCAGCTGCATGTCCTTGCTGCGGCAAGTTTGAGGACCACCTTCACATTCCTCGATGTACGGCGCCCTTGGCTAGTGCGGAATGGGATCGCCGGACGGCGTCGTTGGGCCAATGGCTGGACACTCAAGTCACTGATCCAGCCATCAAACACACTCTTCTCTACCTTCTTCAAGGGGTTTGTGATCCGTCCCTACCTTACAGTTGATTGGTTCCGGTTCGTCTTTGCCAAGCTTTCCTCTCTCAACAACGCATTGGCTACCAAGATTTATTGGAAGGCCGGCTGTCTGTTCAGTGGACGCCCCTGCAGGAACAGTACCTTCAGTCACGAGGGAGACAACGCTCTCCGACCCTTTGGGTCTCTCGCCTGTTGCATCAGCTGATCTTGCTTGGATTTCATATGTGGGAACACCAGAGCTTGGTGCAACATTTGGAGGACAACGTACAGCTACGCGAACATAGCCGATTGGTGAACGACGGTATACACTCTCAGTTTGATATGGGCCCAACCGACCTCCCTAAGGTAGTTCAACGCATGCTCGCTGTGAAACGCCGAACTATGTTGAACAAGCGATTGATTGATAGGGAAGAGTGGCTGAAGCTGGTCAGAATGGAACGCACGGCCTATCACCGCGCTCTGGCGCCCCAACGCCGTATCCTTCACCGCTTCTTCCATCCGGCACAGGCTGTTTTAGTCCCAACAGTACTTCATTAGTTCTTACACGCGCACATGAATTCCCAACACACTCCTTCGAGCCATGAATCACATGCACGATCCATCGCTCGAAGGAGTGTGTTGGGAATTCACGTGCGCGTGTAAGAACTAATGAAGTACTGTTGGGACTAACAAAGTACTTGTGGAAAATCCAGGTTTATATGGATTAAAAGTGGTCTTCAGGCGTGACAAATAGATAGGATATACCGGTAGCTGGGTCAGAACCAGCTTGTCACATTTTTGAGGACCAGACTGGCTGTTTTAGCCAACAGTGGGAACATCAGAACTCGGTACAACACTCAGAGGACAATGTACAGTTACAAGAGCGCAGCCAACAGGTCAACGACGGAATACACAACCAGTTTGATATGGGTCCCACTGACTTACCTAAGGTTGTTCAACGCATGCTTTCGGTCAAGCGCCGGACAGTCTTGAACAAACCACTGGTAGACCGTGAGGAGTGGCTGAAGCTGGTGAGGATGGAACGCACGGCCTACCGCCGCGCTCTGGCGCCTCAACGCCGCATCCTTCATCGCTTCTTCCACCCTGCGGACCATTCCCCTTGAACAACGTTTTGTGGAAGCAACGCCCCGAAATCACCCCGCCACGCTGCGGGTAGAGTCCGAACCATCTGGTTCTGACTAGAGCAACTTCTGATTTTTCAGACGCCTCACATGGTTCAAACTTGTTGTTGACTCGCCGCTCCACAGTACTTGACCTTTACAGCCGACCATTCCACCGGCAATCGTATGCGCTACCTAGCATTTAAGCGATTAATGTTTCAGTTATTATATTAACTGAAAAAGATAATTTATTTTACTTGGAAATCTTTTGGATTGGTCAACGGTTTCTGTCAGATAATCAACTCCGTAGCTGTAATGAGAGCCTCAACGCTCTAGCCACCTCTGGAGTATACTGAGCTCGAATCTACGTCGGCTATGGATTGCCTACAATAGGAACAGGTGCCAGTGATGCTGGGCTTCTACCTGCGGGTGAACAGTCCCACCACTTCCTATTAGATCTTATTCTACTGCTATTCTTGCCAGAAGTCGATCAACAATGATCTCCACAAGCAGGTACAAAAAATCTCTTCCGGAAGCAACCTGCGTCAGCTCTCACCAGCTGTCGCGGCGAATTAGTCACAGATCTGGATCTACCTTCAATACTTATCCATCTCGGTAAGTACTCGAACCGTACTCCCGTCCGTGTTCGATATCACGAATGTCCGACCTCACTGTCCGACATGTTCGACTGTTCTTTTATTTGTTAAGATCCCATTTCACCAACAGAAGCTGGTGAGGATGGAACGCACGGCCTACCGCCGCGCTCTGGCGCCTCAACGCCGTATCCTTCATCGCTTCCTCCACCCTGCGGACCATTCCCCTTGAACATCGTTTCGTGGAAGCAACGCCCCAAAATCACCCTTCCACGCTGCGGGTAGAGTCCGAACCAGCTGGTTCTGACTAGAGCAACTTCTGATTTTTCAGACGCCTCACATGGTTCAAACTTGTTGTTGACTCGCCGCTCCACAGTACTTGACCTTTACAGCCGACCATTCCACCGGCAATCGTATGCGCTACCTAGCATTTAAGCGATTAATGTTTCAGTTATTATATTAACTGAAAAAGATAATTTATTTTACTTGGAAATCTTTTGGATTGGTCAACGGTTTCTGTCAGATAATCAACTCCGTAGCTGTAATGAGAGCCTCAACGCTCTAGCCACCTCTGGAGTATACTGAGCTCGAATCTACGTCGGCTATGGATTGCCTACAATAGGAACAGGTGCCAGTGATGCTGGGCTTCTACCTGCGGGTGAACAGTCCCACCACTTCCTATTAGATCTTATTCTACTGCTATTCTTGCCAGAAGTCGATCAACAATGATCTCCACAAGCAGGTACAAAAAATCTCTTCCGGAAGCAACCTGCGTCAGCTCTCACCAGCTGTCGCGGCGAATTAGTCACAGATCTGGATCTACCTTCAATACTTATCCATCTCGGTAAGTACTCGAACCGTACTCCCGTCCGTGTTCGATATCACGAATGTCCGACCTCACTGTCCGACATGTTCGACTGTTCTTTTATTTGTTAAGATCCCATTTCACCAACAGAAGCTGGTGAGGATGGAACGCACGGCCTACCGCCGCGCTCTGGCGCCTCAACGCCGTATCCTTCATCGCTTCCTCCACCCTGCGGACCATTCCCCTTGAACATCGTTTCGTGGAAGCAACGCCCCAAAATCACCCTTCCACGCTGCGGGTAGAGTCCGAACCAGCTGGTTCTGACTAGAGCAACTTCTGATTTTTCAGACGCCTCACATGGTTCAAACTTGTTGTTGACTCGCCGCTCCACAGTACTTGACCTTTACAGCCGACCATTCCACCGGCAATCGTATGCGCTACCTAGCATTTAAGCGATTAATGTTTCAGTTATTATATTAACTGAAAAAGATAATTTATTTTACTTGGAAATCTTTTGGATTGGTCAACGGTTTCTGTCAGATAATCAACTCCGTAGCTGTAATGAGAGCCTCAACGCTCTAGCCACCTCTGGAGTATACTGAGCTCGAATCTACGTCGGCTATGGATTGCCTACAATAGGAACAGGTGCCAGTGATGCT